AGAGAGAGAGAGAGAGAGAGAGAGAGAGAGAGAGAGAGAGAGAGAGAGAGAGAGAGAGAGAGAGAGAGAGAGGGGAAGGGTGTGTGGAGAGATGGAAATCGGTGAAGCCCAGTTCTAGAGAGAGAGGTTGTGATCTCGTGAAGAGGTGGCGAGAGGAAGGGGGAAAGAGAGGGAGTGTACGATAGAGAGCGGGCCAGAGATAAGAGGAGGAGGGCAGATGGTGAGTTTAGGCCTACAGAGATAGCGAGGAGGCAGAGTTGGTGAGGAGGAGAAGGAGTTGGAAGTGGGCCGAGAGCATCGCTGCATAGGGATCCAACAAGGAGCAATATGTCGTCTTTCAAGAAAGCTATCAAGCGGCGGGCGCACCAGGAGCGTGCGCAGCCTTCTAGTCGAGAGCGCCTGGGTCTTCTGGAGAAACACAAAGACTACGTTCTCCGCGCGCGCGATTACAATAGGAAGAAGGATACGCTCCGCGTCCTGCGGGAAAAGGCGGCCAACAGGAATCCTGATGAATTTTACTTCAAGATGGAGCGCTCTGGATTCCGTGACGGTGTGCACGCGGCACGGGTGGACGTCGAAGATGACCAGCGGTATACTCCAGAGGAGTTGAGGTTGATGAAGATGCAAGACATCAACTATATTCGTATGAAAGCACAGGTAGAGAGGAGGAAGGTGGAGAAGATTCAACCATCGCTGCAGTCCATTGACGAAACGAAAAGGAACAAGCACGTGCTCTTCGCCGAAGATGTGGAGGATCTGCGGCTAAAGGCGGCGATGGTGGCCGAGAAGAAGGAGGGAGGGGGAGGAGGCGAAGGAAAGGAAGGTTTGCGTAGACATTTAAACAAGGCACGGAAAGCAGCCTACAGAGAGCTAATGGAAAGGAAGGAACGAGCACAGAAGCTGAGAATGATGTTGCAGAAGATGGCAATGGAGAAGGAACTGCTGGGAAAAGGGGACAAGCGCCTGGTCCATGTCAACAAGGGAGGCGATGGCAACGAAGACGATACCGGCGGGCAATGCTCTGTTTATGTTTGGAAGCAAGAGCGAAAACGATAGGCCACTTTGATGGTGAGCTTCCACTTTCTTGACTACCGATCTGAGGTCGTTCTCCTGCTTTGTCTGAGAGAGAGAGTATGTCTCCAGATTTGCACACCTACGATTGGCTTGGATTGGCTTTGCATACTTGCGTGAGTTCGGTACGTCCAAAGTCGTTTGGTGAGCGATCAGTCTCATCGCAATGGGGCGAGTTGGCAGGGGGTATCATCGACGGAGAAGTGCTTGGCCTACGTATGGCCGGGCGATCACCGCTGTTCTTCTAGCTGCTGGCAGTGAGTGGTCCCCACCACGGTCTCCTGCTCTGTTCTCACCCCTTCCCCCGCCACTCGCCCCTGAATCGCACTGCTCGCTGCGTGAGACATGGAATGCGTGGCTACAGGAACCTAATGGGGAAAAGGGGACAAAAACCTGTACGGAACGCTGCACGGTGCCCCGTCACGTACTGAAAGAATTTGGCGCGGCGGAGGCATGTGTCGTGTGCGGAACGAGGACCCATCTGTCGGTATGCCGTTGCATCGGTACTACCGAGTGTAGGAGGGGGCACTCCAAGGGTAGGCAGCAGAGGTGGAGGACAAGAAGAAGCACGGGCGGAAGGGGATGGAAAGTGGATTAATAGTGCTGTAGCAGGACGAGGAGTAGGAAAGAATGGAGACACAGGCAATTGAGCAGATCGTGCGTGTTCTATGCATTTCTCCTTTGTTTTAATCTTCGTTGCATATTACCTCCTGGAGAGAGAGAGAGAGAGAGAGAGAGAGAGAGAGAGAGAGAGAGAGAGAGAGAGAGAGAGAGAGAGAGAGAGAGAGAGAGAGAGAGAGAGAGAGAGAGAGAGAGAGAGAGAAAGAGAGAGAGAGAGAGAGAGAGAGAGAGAGAGAGAGAGAGAGAGATTCGCCAAGGATGCGGCGTATCTTCGGCTACATCCACTCGCCATTTGGAACTTTCCTCGGATGAATCCTTAACCACGATCCACCTTGATACTTAAGAAATCGTGAAAATATCTTCAATGCCGATGTCAAGCTACCACGGTCAAAGCACCGATTGACGAATCCTCGGCGTCAAGACAAAAGCTTGTAAATCTCTCTCTTTCTCTGTGCTCGATTTCCTCTCTCTCTCTCTCTCTCTCTCTGTGTCTCTCTCTCCTTGTCTCTCTCTATCCCTCTCTGCTCGATTGCCGCTCGCATTAGAGCGCTACCTGCCCTGCTTAGGGTAACGTCGTCGGCCGGAGTGTGAACAAAAGGCAGGAACCCCCGATTCAAATGGCGGCACAGGAATGCACTCTAGTTGTCGCTGTGAAGTTAGCTGAGGAACGAACGAACTCCTCAATGCTTATCACTCAATGTATGCACATATGTATACGGTCTAACCTGCCGGGGAGAGAGAGAGAGAGAGAGAGAGAGAGAGAGAGAGAGAGAGAGAGAGAGAGAGAGCGCAATGACGTGTGTGTGTGTGTCGGGGGGTGGGTGGGTGGTGATAAGAACAGAGAGGTGTTGCCCCGCTGCCTGGGGAGGGAGTTGTAATGAACAGTCCCACCGCGCACGCGGCTTCCTCGACAACGTGAGGAAGACAGCCCCGCCACGGCTATTTTTTTGTTTTTTGACGTTTTGACAATTTCTCGATTTTTCTATGTCATCCTTGCGCATGACCCATGCGAATCGTCTATGTATCGCTCCAACGTTCGCCGATGGTGTCAACGGCCGCCTTTCTGACCTCTGTGGCAGCAGATTCTCGTCCTCAATGCTCCCCTCTCTCTCTCCCTCCATCTCTCTGTCTCTCTCTCGATGGGGCCTAGCTACATCTAGAGCCGCGTTGACAACCGGCCGGCATGCTGTCTAACTTCTTTGCTCAAATTATGTCAACCACGATCTGATCTGATCAGGAGCATGATAGATGTCTAGGAAGTGTGTGTGTGTGAGAGAGAGAGAGAGAGAGAGAGAGAGAGAGAGAGAGAGAGAGAGAGAGAGAGAGAGAGAGAGAGAGAGAGAG